ACGCGTGACTCAGTCAGGCAGCCCTGAATAAATGAATCAGGTTTGCCTGAACTCTCTGGTCTCTAGCTTAAGAAAACATGATCAATATTTTTTGAATGAATTAATGAAACGAAGGAGAAGACAGGAGTCTTCTTGTTGTATATATAAGGTGGCCAGCAGAGTCTCAATAGAAATGAGTCCCTGTGTTCCTATTGCTCTTTAACTGGTGGGAGGGGAGAGGTGAAGCACGAAAACCGTTAGGATCTGCTAGACGCTGTTGTCATCAGCTGGCAGAAGTTATCACAGTTGTGGAAGAAGCAAACTGGGTAGATCTGCCAATGACCAGGAGGACTGAATGACTGAGTGCTGAGGCCAGGGCTGCCTTAGGGTGAACGGTGCTGGTGCTGCCTGCTCTGGGTGGCCAGGGCAACTTGTGCAAACCCTCTTTGTTGAAAGGTCGGCAGAGACCGCAGAGTTCAGGCAAACCTGATCCGTTCATTCAGAGCAGCCTGACTGAGTCACGGGTGGCTCCTCAACCTGTCCGGATAAGGGTGGGAGTGATTAGGCAGGCTAGCTTAGCTCGTACTGGTTTGCAATACTGTCTGTGCTGCCCTCTTCATTCCCTTTTCACCTACCTTTAAATTCACCTACCCCTTTGCCTTCGTAAAATCTAAGCGATTAACTGTTGTCTCTTAATCTATGTCCTAAATCTTTGCATCACTTTTTCTTTGATTATGAAGTCCCCTTTTGAATTACTTAATTGCCCCATTATTGCACGTATCTTACTGTGTCCTTGTCTAGTTTGTCTGTGCTGAAGGACAGAGTCAAGTTCAGTCTACAAAGCATCAAAGCGTCCCATGACAAGGCTGCTTCTTAGTGGTATTTTGTTCCTAGAGGGTCGGGGAAGAAAACAGAAGAACCCCTGCACTTAGAAGTTTCTGTTTCTAGTGGAGAAGATAAATAATACATAAGATAATTGCAGGTAGTGGTAAGTATTCAGAAAAAACAAAGTGTCAGGGAAGGACTTTTTGAGGAGGTGATCTGAGCTAAGACTTAAATGAGGAGAAGGAGCCAGCTATGCCAACCATGGGGAAGAAGAGATTATAGACAGAAGACAGTGGATGTGAAGGTGCTGATGTTGAACAAGTTTGGCTTGTTTGAGGAACAGAAGGCCAGGAAGCTTGAAACACCTTATATGGAGGGTATGAGATTGAGGTTAGAGAGTTAAGCAGGAACTTAATCATGTTTGGATCTTTTTGTTTCTAAGTTTTGTCCTGTTTTTAAGTCAGTCTATTTTGTAGAGAATGACTTGGAGGTGTGAAAATTAATAAAGGGAATCCTCATTTAAAATGGAGTTAGGAGGCCACAAGGGGGAGCTCCCAAGCAGTACCACTCAAGATGTCAATTTCAGGAAAGCCAATTTGTTGAAGAAATGTACATTGCATCCCAAACAGAAGTGACTACCCGGCAACTCAGCCAATGAAAAGCCATCACCACTCTGAACTCTTGCTTTTCTCCAATGGACTTTCCTTCAGAACAACCCCTCCCAATTTCCTCCTTTTTCCCTATAAAATAGCGTTCCTCTCCTTTGATTGTTGGATTGCCTACTGTCTGCCATAGCATGCACATCCCAAATTGCCATTCTTTGCCTGTTCCTGAAGAAACTCGTTTTGCTGGTAAAGATAACTGGCCGTTTTATTTTTAAGGCTGACAGAAGAGAGCAGAAATGGAACAGGGAGAAGCCAGAAAAGGATAGGAAGCTATTGGATAGGTCCATGGGATAGATAATGGTGACCTGGATTAGGGTGGTTGCTATGAAAATAGAAGTGGAAGAGGATGTTTTCCTGAGGTGCAAGTGTGAAGAAAGGTAATAAACAAGGTGACTCTCAGGTTGTTTTCTTAAGCAAGTGAGAGGATGTCAATGGCATTTAGTTCAAGGTGGAAGACTATTTCACGTGATTGGAGGGACCCTGAATGCCTCTGCCCAAACTCCAAAGCTCTCCCACCACTGGCCCGAAAATCTCATGTCACTCAATCCTTGGGATCAAGGTTTGGTTCAAGGCAAATACTGGCTCCCTCATATTCCAAAAAACACAATACAGAACTTGTACTAGCAGCTAGGGATATAAAGATGAATAAGAATAACTTTCTAGTGGGGAGATAGATAGTAACTAAGCCATTTCAAGACAAAGGATAAGTGTTACAATAAAACAGATAATATAATTGCCTACCTAACAGGGTCATTGTAAGGATTAAATAAGTTAATGCCTACAAAGCTCCAAGTACAGACATTGGCATAAAAAAGTGCTCAATAAGTGTTAACAGTTATTTTACACTTTTCTACATTGAGGTTCATCATTATTGTTGATGTTATTATCTTCTGGATACAGGGGGACCAGAGGGAATGATTATCACTGCCTGCTACTTTAGGAGAGAGAAGGTTGAATGGAGGAAGGCTAACTGACTCCAGCTTTCTGAACCAGTAGGAGGAATTCAGTTGGTCAGCAAGGGAGGAGGAACAATCCAAAGGAAAAACAATCTCGAAGGCCAACAAGACAAGAGGGAGCCAAACCATGTAGGAGACAGGAAGGTAGTTCAGTATTGTTAAAGTCTCACATATTCACTGAGAAGTGGCAAGAGATAAAGTTGGTGTCAGGGCTTAAGAAGTTTGTAGCCCATGCTGAGCCTTTCTGACTCAGATCCCATAGACAGTGGGGAGCCAGTGAAGGATGTTAAGTAGGGAAGAGGCATAATTTAGGAGACTGTACTGGAGGGAGATGCAAATGGAGATGGAGAGATCAATTAGAAAGGCTCTAGAGGAATATAGGTGAGAGATGATAAAGGCCTAAACTAGGGCAGTAGCAAGTGGAATGGAAAGAAGGGGACATATTTGAGAGATATTTAAAGAGACAATTCACAGTATTAGAGAATGTCTGGATGTGGGAGTTAAGGGTCTATCCATGATTTCTGGCTTAGCAGTCTGAATAGCTGGAGTTATGCTGACTGAGGCAAAAACATACATCCTGGAGAATAAGCAAGAATAAGCTTTACTTGAGTTAATATGTAGGCTAAACTAGTCCACCTCCTACTGAGATCTAAAGGAAATGAACAAGAAACAATCAAGTTTTGTTTGGTTTTATGATAAAATAGCTTTAACATTTTTTGGCTGGTTATGTCAATAATGCATACTTATTGCAGAAAATAAAACGAAATACAGAGAAGCACAAAGATAAAAGCCCTCTAATGTCCTACCACCTAGCGATACAGGTAAATTTTGATGTGGAGAAGGAAAAGAACAATGGCCCAAGCCTGAGGACTGAGCCCTGTTGCAAGAAGGCACTGGGTACTACAGGGAGTCAGAAAGGGAAGCTGAAAAGGAACCAAATCAGATTTTAAAAGACAAACATCTGGGGCCTGCCCGGTGGCGCAGCTGTTAAGTGCACATATTCCACTTCGGTGGCCTGTGGTTCGCCAGTTCAGATCCCGGGTGCAGACATGGCACCACTTGGCAAGCCATGCTGTTGTAGGCATCCCACATATAAAGTAGAGGAAGATGGGCACGGATGTTAGCTCAGGGCCAGTCTTCCTCAGCAAAAAGAGGAGGATTGGCAGCAGATGTTAGCTCAGGGCTAATCTTCCTCAAAAAACAAACAAACAAAAACCACACCCATAAAAAAAACAACCCACAAACATCTCAGTTCTCCAGAGGGTCACATCTCTTTTAATGATACCAAACAAACAATAAGTCTTTATCCCATTTCAAGTATGCATAATTTCTCCATTGGCACTCAGGCATAGTGAAAAACACAGACTCATCTAGA